TGAGAGGAGAGGTGGACTTTGAACTCTTGTCTTATTGTGGGTCTTTCTGGGTTCTTTCCAAAGGCACTTGCAGAACTCCAGCCACGCTGGCCCCTTTGTGATTGTTTCAGAAGAAGCAATTGCCAAAGGCATCCGGAGGATAGTTGCAGTCACTGGGGCTGAGGCTCGGAAGGTAAGGAGAGGCAGGAGAGATCCTCTGTGAAATCCCACACATGAATCTCACACCAAGGTTCCTCTCCTTCAAATTTGCCCCAAATCCCTGTTGGGATACTCAGAACCAGGGAGAATTGGCATGAGTATCAGAGGGACTTGTAGGGGAGGATGCTGCTGTTGGAAGAGGCTGCCCTGGAGGGCCCTGTTTGTGCTACAGCTGGAGGAGAGAGCTGGGAGGGAAGGAGGGAAGTCCTGGTGTGTTAGAAGGGCCCCAGGTGGGTCCCCAGGGTGGTTGTGGGTTTAGCTCAGGTTACTTTGCAGAGTGGGCTGGTGATCTGGGGCTGTGGAGCTGGCAAGACTGGATCCAGCCAGAATCCCGTCCTCTGCTGCAGGAGGCAGGTGACCTTGATCTTGACTGGTGCTTTCTAGAGTGGGAGAAAGGGCTTGGTGAGGAGATTGTTTTCTCTTTTTGGAGGGTCTGGGCATTCCTTCTGGCAAAGGAGAGTCTGGGGCCTGCCTGCCAGCATCTCACCCAGGGGCTGGTCCAGTGCTGCTTGCTTTGGCTCTGCTGCTTCCCGAGGAGTTGCTGAACTCCACCCTGGGGCTGCAGTGTTCTTCAGCTCTTCTCAGGGTGGTGGCCAAGAGCCTGGCTGCCTGAATCTCCCTGCCTAACCTGACCTGACCTGGATTGTGTTCTGCCAGGCCCTCAGGAAAGTCGACAGCCTGAGGAAAGTGCTCTCAGCCCTGGAGGCCAAGGTGAAGGTGCAGACAGCTCCCAACAAGGATGTGCAGAAGGAGATCACGGATCTTGGTGAGGTGAGGATGGCAGCAGTGCTCTGCCTCCCCAGGGCAAATGGGATCTTGATTGCCAGCACTGGGTGACACTAATGAGGCCCAGTCCTGCTCCTGGCCACACAGCCCAGTGGGTGCTGCAGCCAGCTCCTCCTGCCTGAGGGTGTTGGGCTGTGGGAGAGATGAGGAGCTCAGTGAGCTCTGCCAGTTCAGGTGTTTGAGGTTCAAGGAAGTGGTTCAGCATCTCCTGCCACGGGTCACGGGTACCTCTGACCCTCTCCACCCACTCTTGTTTTGCAGACACTGGCCACTGCTGTTATCCCCCAGTGGCAGAAGGATGAGCTGAGAGAGGCTGTTAAAGCTCTGAAGAAAGTTATGGATGACCTGGACAGAGCAAGCAAAGCTGACATCCAGAAACGGGTGGGAATGAAGGACAATGTGGGATTGGCTGTGGGGGGGCTCCCTTGGGAGCTCCACTCCTGTCTGGTGTGGAAGGGAGCTGAGCTGTGGGGTGTGCAGTGTTCCAGCCTCTCCTGCTCCCTTCCCATGGCAACCTCCACCCCTGTTCCCTGGGGGAAGTGCTGGCATCATGTCTTGGAGGTTGGGGTGCTCCTGATGGTGCAGGGTATGGGTGGTGTGTGCTTCTTCCTCCTGAATCCCATTGGATTTTCCTGGAGGAGGAATCATCCAGCACTACTCCTGCCTTGCAGACCTCACATCCACCTGCCAACATGTTTTGTTCCTGGCTGTGGAGCATGGGGTGCTCCAGGCTGGGCCATGGGTGTGTTGGGGCACCTGGGGGGTCTCTGCACCTGCAAGGAAGCTCCACACGGGTGGTTCTTGTGTCCATACACAACGTGGGTGCTCTAGCATCTGACCACTGTTGCCCTCAGGTGCTGGAAAAGACTAAGCAAGTCATTGAGAGTCACCCTAACCAGCCACTGGTCATCATGGAAATGGAAAATGGAGCCTCAGCAAAGGTATGGAAAGGTCTGGTCCCCTCAACAACCTTCCTTGTGCCTGAGGAGCAGTTGGGTGGTCTCTGTTCACCTGGGGAGGTGCTGCTGTGTCACTGGGCTGTCTCTCTTGCCACCTGAGAGCATTGGTTAATGAAGATGGGGAGGACCACAGGGACACTCTGTGTCCCACCTCCCAGACTAACCCATGGGTTTGCAGGGATTGAGGGCTGGTCTTGTCCATTTGCTGAGCTTCCAGACCTAGCAGTGGATAGAAATCACATCATGTCGTGGGTAGGACTCACCCAGCAGCAGTTGTGACACAAATGCAGGCGTGGGGGGCTCTGAACAGCAGCTCTGCCCCCTCTCAGGAGCTGTGATGCTTGTGGTCACTGCAGGTCTGCTCTGGAAAGGGTGTCCCGGGCTGCGTGTGGGGACGGGGAGCTGCTCCCCACCTCCTGGGTGTGCTGTCTGCTGCACCAAGGGGCAGCTTCTTCTCCAACCAGGGCTTCAACTGCTCCTTCCCTCCTCCACACCCAAGCTGAGTTTCTTCCTGAGCACTTTCTGTTGTGGATAAAAGCTCCCCCGTGTGCTCGGTTCCGCAGCGCTGAGCCCAGCAGTGCCCGGGAGCAGGGGCTGCTCCTGCCCCCACCCACCTTGGATCACTCTGGGTTTAATGTCCTGTTTAAATGCCATTTTCCTCTGGGAATCTGGGAGCCAATCCTGCTTACAGAATGCCTGCTGACTCCCCGTGGCTGTCCCCAGCCCCAGGGTGCCAGCAGTGCTCCCTGGCAGGGGGGGTGCACCCCGTGTTCCCTAGCCAGCTGGAGCAGCACTGCTTTGCTCCCAGAGCTCTGTGCTGTCTCCTTGGCAATCCTGGGATGTGGGGCAGTGTCCCTGGTTTCCCCAGCCTGCCTGCTGTGCCTGGTAACCTGAGCAGCTTCTTCGTGCTGCCTTTGAGTCCTCCAGACTCAACTTGGAGCAGCTGCTCCCTCCTGCTGGGCACTCACAGCCAAGCACGCTCAGTTCACTTCCTTTGGGGCTAATCCTGCCCCAGAAAGTGAGGAGGTGAAAGCAGCTCCTCGCAGCTGTGAGGGGACAGGGCTTGTGTCCCCTGCCAGGCACAGCCAGGGGGCTGGAGACCACTCGTGTTTGGAGGCAGGAGCAGTGCAGGGAGCTGCTGGCTGGGTGAAGCCCAGCCCAGGGCTCCAGGGGGGCTGGGTGTCAGCACAGGGCAGGGCTGCTGCAGTGACCCGTGTCCTCCTGCAGGCCCTGAACGAGTCTCTGAAGCTCTTCAAGACCCACTCCCCCCAGACTGCTGCCATGCTCTTCGCTGTCGATACCGAAGCTGGCAGGATCACTTGCCTGTGTCAGGTACCCCAGGTAATGCTGAGACTGCTCCCCCCTTCCCCTGAGCCCCTGCTGGAAGAGTTTGGCCACAGGATGGAAGAACCACTTGGCTGGAAAAGACCTTTAGGGTCACTGAGTCCACCCATTACCCCACCCGTGTCCCTCAGCACATCCACACGACTTTGAAACCCCTCCAGGGATGGGGACCCCTCCCCTGGCACAACTTGAGGCTGTTTCCTCCTGTCCTGTCACTTCAGGAGAAGAGACAGACCCCCCTTCTGAGCTCCAACCCCCCCTCAGAGAGCGACAGGACCCACCACTCCATCACGTCCCTGAGCAAGACCCCTACATGCTTTGTCCTGTCGTGCCACGCTCGTGGACCCTCTCCCCTCACTCCTGCGTGGGCAGAGGTCGAGCTACCTCCTTTTTTTGTGTGTCTCGTTCCCCCCAGGAGGCCGCCAGCAGGGGCCTGAAGGCCAACCAGTGGGTGCAGGAGGTGTCGGGGCTCATGGACGGCAAGGGCGGCGGGAAGGACGTGTCGGCCCAGGCCACGGGCAGGAACGTGGGCTGCCTGCAGGACGCGCTCAGACTGGCCACGGACTTCGCCCGCCCGCGCTTGGGCGAGCTGA